TCATAATAAAAGTTTGTTTGAAATCAATAAGCTGCAGATTTTTTAGATAAGTAATACTGACTCACATCTCCTTGAATCTTGTTTTGTTTCATTTTGCCCCACTTGACTGTCATTGAAAGGGATTGCTATCAACAATTTAGTAAACCTGTTTCAAGCTTTTTTATTGCAGCCCCAAATAAACTAAAATACCAAATTATAAACAATTTATGTAAAGCCAGAGAGAGGTCTACCCTCTACTATATTTTATTGAAAGAGACTAATGGATTACCAGGGAGCTCTGGTAGCATAGTGCCAAAGGCACCTGACTGCTAACCAAAAGGCTGGCAGTTCAAACCCACCAGCCACTCCTTGGAAGGAAGGTTGAGCAATCTATTTCCATAGTGATACTGCCGTCGCTATGAGTCGGTCCGACTCAATGGCACATGACAACAACAACAACAATGGATTACCTGGCTTGGCTGGAGGCCAGATGGTGTTCCTGCACTGTCTTGGGCCAGCAGCATCAGCATCATCTGGGTTCTTCTCAGGAACGCAAATTCTCAGGCCTCAGTGCAGACCTCCTGAATCAGAAGTGCCAGAGGCAGGCCCCCAGGTGTTAGGGTTTTATAAGTCCTCTAGGTTACTGTTAAGCACACTAATGTTTGAGAACTACTGGTTTTAGAGCAATGGGGTAAACCATTGAGGGTCACCTTAGGTAAGATCAGCATTAATTCACTGCCTTGGGATGGGTGCAGGTAAACTGAACAGGGCAATAAGGGCTGGACTGGGAAAGATACTAGAAATCTCTGGGACTCAAGATGCAGACCAACTGGAAAGCAAAGATTGGATGGTAACAGTGGAAAAAGAGATGAGGGAAAACACTAACTTCAGAAGGAGAAAAGCATGATACCAGGTATATGAAATTTTACAACATGGAAAGCAATCACCATCTATCCATTTTATACACACACACACACATATGTAGTAAAAGGTGTGCATATGAACATACGTCATTGCATAAAGAAGTGTATAAGAATAATAAACATCTTGTTTAGGAGAGTGGTTAAGTGTTGAGGATAGAGAGGGGAGATAGTTCAACTGGAGAAATGTGCACCTTGGGGTCAAACTATGTTTGTAATGTTAAAGAAAATGAGTCTAATATCGGGAAGTTGTTTAAGGGTGAGAAAAAAACAGTCATCACTGACCAGAGTAGCGGATCAAAGAAGAGGAAAGGCCAGGGATCTGAGGGTAAAGGGCCTTGTTCTACATTTATGTGAGTCTGCCTAGATGCTATCTACTGTTGTGTGCCATCCAGTCAATTCTAACTCATAGCTACTGTTCTGGTTACCTAGCGCCACTCTGACAAGAATATGCCACAAATGGGATGACCTTAACAACAGGAGTTGCTTCTCTTACAGTTTGGAGGCTTTAAGTCCAAGTTCAAAGTGCCAGGCTCTAGGGGCAGGGTAAGAGCCCCACAGTCTTGGGCTTCAGCTCTGCCTCTGGCTCCCGGCCCACAGAAGCTAGAGGCTTTTCTTCACTCAAACAGCTGCTGGCTGCTGAGGCTGCCAAGCCCAAGGTTGAGAGGTAAAAAGGCACTGTCCCGATATTACCAAATCACACGATAGAGCATGGCAGGCTGCTGAACAACAAAATGGCTACATGCAGGGTTCAAGGTGCCATAAGCTAAAGACCATTCCCAAGTCATCTCCTTATATACAGAAAGCAGACCACATCCCAAGATCCCACCATGGAGTCGATTGGTAGTCTCATCATGGGGAATAACTACCACCAGGTGCCCAGCCACTCAAGCAGGTCCATCCAAGTTGATACACAAGCATACCTACCATCTTTCCACCCCTTGTCAACTTGGCATATGTACAGATCTTCATTGGGTGGAATTTGTACAGACTTCTCTCAGTGGGTGGCTCTAGTCCCCTAGTTCCTCTAAGTGGCAACTTGCTTACCTCCCTAGGGAACTTGCTATAACCTGCACAGACCTTCAGAAACACTTCAGTCTACTTTTCAGGAACTGTTGTTGTTGTTATGTGCCATCGAGTGGGACCCGACTCATAGCGATCCCTCCTTGGGTTTCTGAGGCAGTATCACTATGGAAGTAGATTGCCTGACCTGCCTTCAGAGGACTGGCTGGTGGGTTTGAACCACCAGCCTTCTGGTTAGCAG